CCTCAGCCATTCCATGTATTTATTAAATTTCATCACCAGCTCATTTCATTAATTAAATTAGTTTAAAAAAAATTAAATGAGATAGTGATTAGCTGTATGAGGTGTGTTAGTGGTCGAGTCAAAAATACATGGGTGTTCTGTACGTTTGCTGGAAATAATGGGGTGATTTTAGGTTTTGGAATGGCTAAGCTACTGTAACACACTTTGACAGGCATAACAGCATAGTTTTACACCAACATAAATATCATTCAAACATTACTTTCTTTGGCTGCCTAAGACTTTTGCACAGTTATGTACCTTAACAGCTTTAATATACATTGAAAACAAACACTATTCCATTATAATGTTTGTTATTATCATAGAATGTCTGCTATTATGGAAGTTAGTTCCGACCAAAATATCTGATTTGACAAGAGGCGTTCTATGAATGATGTTATCAGAGTATAACGGCACTCAGACATTTCACTCCGCCTTACAAGGTGTATCTATAAATACCAGAATAAGGTTACATCGTTTTTTAATGTTAACATCGTTCTGCTGGCCAGATTTAATAATAATGTATAAATACGTCGCAATAATATATTATAAATAAAATATTATGGCGTTTTAAAAAACAAGTGGATACTGGCAATAAATACAGGGCACAAGAGTCACACTCCAGAAACTTTTTTCAGTTTGGAAAAATAAATTGAAAAAAAGAAATACAGGTTAACCTTTACTCTCACTTCCGTCTACGTAACATTTCTGCTCCGTTCTTTTTTGAAACAGGTGGAAACACAGGCTTGTTCTCAAAAGACACCAAGCGATAACCAGCCCTGCACCAGCACCGGCACCAGCTCCGCCTTGGTGGAAACGAGGTATTTGAGAACCTGCCCGCGTTTCCACCTGTTTCAAAAATTAACGTAGGCGGAAGTGAGAGTAAATTAAAGGTCCATATGTATTTTGTTTTGTTGGGTTTATTTTGATCTGTTTAGGATTTTAAGTTTTTATAAACTGCTGAAACGAAAATAAAGTTTTCAGGTATGACTCATTTCGCTATGTCTCTATTGTCTGTATCCACTTCTGTCTCCTTAAAGGCTCCCCGTCTGTGTGTGAAAGTGAGTTTATTCTTTACTCTAGCTCGTTGTTTTACAGCTGTCCTTTTGAGGATCGTGCAATAAAAGTGTCTGTTAATAAATGAACTTTGTAGTGCGCCTCATGATCTCTTCGTCACTCCAGCGGCATAATATATTATTTATTAGACCTGCGGCATGGTTTTAATTTGCAATGCAAAGTTATTCCGCTAATAAGCTGGCTAGTTGTTTCACTGTTGGCACCTGCGATATTAGACTAAACTAAATTGGTTATAAATTCCGGGTATGCGGATGGTTTGGAAGAGGTAGCCTGTCCCACTTTCGCTGACGTTAAGGGAACTACTTTTTGGGGGGAGCCCGCAAATGTTTAAACAAATAAACAAAACATGCTGTATCTTATTATTGTCACTTAAATGCTACTCGATGATCTGTTGTATGAAAGCAATAACATACTTGAAGTCGTGCGGTTGTACTCCAATATATCATGTCTGTGCGGTTGTACTCCAATATATCATGGCTGTGATTCGGTCGTAGGCACTAGGCAGTAGGAGTACAACCGCACTCCTCGAATGTTATTGCTTGATTAAATATACATTAAAGCTGTTAACATATGTTAAGATGTTAAGGTATACTTACATGCTGCTTATGAACATTCTTTGGATGAATTATGAATGCATTATGAAGGTACAGTACACTGAATGTTCTATGATTACATTTTAAAGGTATTGTGAAAGTAGTTATTGTAAAGGACCTATATTTCTTCATAGTATTTTTATTACTTTAATTTATACACACTGTTGATTTGATTGAATGTTTTAACCAGTACAAAAGGTGCACGGTCGTCCTTCATTATAATGAAAAGCTAGAATTTAAAAAACTTTGATTTTACCTTGTTCTTAATATTTTATTCTACTTTCCCTTCAAATATACATTAAGACTTATGTTGTCATAGAGAAGAACATGCAAATTTTGCAGTTTTGGATGAGTCTGATAAACATTCTGTTTTTCAGTTATGTCAAACACTATGGTGTGTGCATTGGTGAGCTTGTTGCTTCTGGGTCCTCCATCAGAGATGTTCTGGTGCTCCCTGTCTTGCTGCATGGTTACGGGTCATGGACACTATTTAGTGACATGAGATGAAGATTGGAGTCCTTCAGTACTGTGTCTCTTTAGAGAATCCTTGGGTACCTCTGGTTTGACTTTGTATCAAACAAGCGGTTGCTCAGGGAGTCCTGGCTGAGGCACATTAGCCGCATTGTGAGGGAGCGTCAGTGGCGGATGGCAGGACGAAAAAATAAAAAGGGCACCTATTGCATGATGTGTACACCCCCACCCTCCCATAGGGCACCTATTGCATGATGTGTACACCCCCACCCTCCCATAGGGCACCTATTGCATGATGTGTACACCCCCACCCTCCCATAGGGCACCTTGTATGGTACTACATCCATTTGTGCTACTGGAAGAGCATCCATTAGGACAGCAACTCGCATTCCCACACACGAACGGACATCCTATATATCGCTGCATCACATTTTATCCACTGGAAGGGCACCCTATGGGACACTTAAACCAGTAGGGGTGTCATAAAGGGCAATTAATATTGCTACCCACAGGGGCTGTTTAGCCTGTCATAAGGGTATGGTATAGGGCACCGCCTCACATGCTCTCCTCAAGAAGGACACTCATGAAGACATTCATAACATTCTCTTGTTCTATAGGACACATCATCTTACATGAAGAGGGCACCATAGACGGCACTAAACGTGAAGGGCAGCCAATAGCAGTGTTGCTGCCACTCTGAAGGACACTTGAGAAATGTCTTTTTCAGCAGTGGGGGAATCGCTTATCTTATTCAGGGTCAGCTAGAGCCGGTCCCAGCCAACAAAGAAGACAGGGTGCCCCCTTGCTTCCCCCCTGAGTCCACCAGTGCGCTCTCTCTCCCCCCGCTCGACATTGCTAGAAGGGCACACATTATACTGTAACACATTATCAAATTCTCTTGCCCTCGACGGCACAACTTAATAAATTATTGTGCAAAGGGGCAAGCTTAACTATTTATTTTTTACCATTTGTGGGGCAGTCAGTAGGGTACTCTGGGGCACCAGGGGGGCAATTGCCCCCCACCCCCCCCAAGTCTTCCAGTGAGGAAGGATCAGTTACGGCACTATGGCTTTGTGGTACGATACCCTGAGAGTGATCTGGCTCATAGGATCCGAGGCCCCAAGTGGCTGGACCAGGCCGTGGTGACGCCCATGTAACACCTGGCAGCGTCAGATAGATGGGCCATTTCCAGAGGGTGGGACTGCCTGGGGGGGTTGCCAACCAGTGTCCCCAGGGTCTTTTGTCGTGTAGTGGGTGCAGCAATGTGGTGTTCAAGTGCATGCCCCCCCCAACCTGTAGTGACTGTGACCAAGAGAGGGACCCCAAATCTTGGGGGGCCAATTCAAATGTGTTGTTCATGTCATAGTAAACACCAGTGCTGGGTGCGTGATGGGGGAATACAGTAAGAAAATATACTGGCTGCTTTGCTATGGCAGCTGTTTTTTGTGCAGGCCATCCATTGTTTGACTTCTTATTCTGGTTACGGTTTGGGGGGGGAACTGGAGCCTACCTGCTGGACATAATGCCAGTCTGGCACAGGACACATACATGCGTTTATGCAATTATGCACTATAGGAAATTTAGAGACACCAATTAGCCTAACTGCGTGTCTTTGGACTGCATGCGGGGAATATGCAAACTCCACAATTGAAACCCCCAGCCTTGAAAGTGTGAGGTAACAGCGCTCTCCACTGAGCCACCATGCCGTTATGCCAATTCCTCTTGAAATGTGCACAATGTATTGCCTCATTCGGGGCTATTTCAGCTTGGGGGGGGGGGGGACAATTTTTTAAATGAATAACTTTCCCTATGTCACGAATGGAGCGGTGATTTCATTTTCATTTAAATGATCTGATAATCATTTAAATGAAAAACTTAGCTAATTATGAGAGAGTTCAATGACAAGCATTTCCGTGCCTAGATATACAGAAACACAATTGGGCATAGACACATATTAATGAGGGAGGGCGAGAGGTTGAAAAAATGAATTTACTGATAATTAACTTCATTTGTCTGTCTAATAGAAAAATAGACAAACACACTAGGATGGCAGAGAGCTAGCAAGTTTTGAACATGACCTTATAATATTAAGTCTGTTGTCCTACAATTATACCCTTGCAAATGATACACATTCAAACTGCTGTAAGTGTAGTAATAGTAATTACTGATTAAGGAATCCAAGTTTAATTGTTTTGTATGTTTGGGCAAAAAAAACCTGCAACGTGACTGGTCGGTGGCAGTCATTTATGTCATTTTAATTATGTTTGTAGTTGCTGTAGAAATATTCGTTTTTTTATTATTATTATTATTATAGGCGACTGTAGTAGCGCCACCTTGAGGCCAATTTGTAGTGGCAATACCGTCAGTCACTGTGTCTATCCACCCGTTAATTTTCAATAACTGGAATTTTGGTCGTGGCGGTCATCCTCTACTGGGCCAAAAAATAACTTGAAGTGTTCAAAAAATAAAACCATTTGCCAAGACTTATTAATGGCACGATCCGACAGATACATCATTAACGCCAACAAAGCAAATGTACATTTGGATTTAATGTTTGGTAATATATATAAGTAAAATCATCCTAGAAATTCAGTGTTGGGTGGATTCCTCGTGTATTCTGTTCAGATTCCTGGAGGTCTGAGTGTAACAGGAATAATCGGGCTCGGTTCACTAATAAAACTTAATGAAGCATTGATTCCAGGGTCTTTTCTGGCAACATTTTGCAACAGGTTATGTGTACTTGGAGAAGGCTTCATCAAACGCTATACCTTTTTATGACAATGCATTTATTAATTATTTACTCATAATTAACTCATTAACATAGTTGTGTCAATTAACAAGACATAAGACATTTCGATGGCCAGTACTCTTTACAGGATAAAAGGGATACTTCAAATATTGATATATTGGCAACTTTTAATCAATTAAAAAAACGTCACGCCCTGAAATCATCCGGGGAAAATCGCAGAAACATGATAATTTCATGTGTGAATTTATGTGCGTGTTAGAGAGTGAGCGAGAGAGCGAGAGAGCGAGACCAAAAAAGCAAGACTATAGCGACGGATGGTGTACGTATTCCATTGAAGAACAATATCTTATCAACGACTGCTTGGTTAATGTAAACATTTCAACTGAGTCGTTTATATACTAAAATTAAATTGTAAAATGATATAAAATTTCAATTGCACTAGGTTGACTCCGTAAAGTGTTGTAGATTTTCATTACAGAAACCCCCTTTTTGAAAATGGACTCGTCTTTGACGTGTTGTTCAAAAAATAAGACACCTGACCACCTTTAATTCGACTTACTCGTACAGTTTTTACGCTTTTCGGTGTTTGAACTTGAGCTTTGGTTCCTCCAGCAGGTTGCAAGTCAAAATCCAAAATGGACCAGTTTCTTTCGACGTCGCGTGGTTTGGGGATCTATTTTAAATAACAGGTATGTTTTACTTGTTTGGTGTCGAGTTAATTGTTGCAAAATGATACATTGATTACTATAAGAATTCTGTGAAGACAAGTAACAGAACAAATATTAAGCTATTGAAGTATGCCACGTTTTGTATTGGCGTGAGATGTTTTTTTTCATGCATAATATAAAAATCTTTTTGGGTGATCGGGACATTATATTTGTATTTCAATATTACGAAGAATTAAAAAATGTCAGTACTGAATAAAAAAGTATGAGTAAACATCAGTTTTCTGAACTTGGGTGGGTTTAAGTTATATTCTGACTATGCATGGTGATTTGAATTTAATAATAAGATAGAGAACTAGAATAAACGAAGGCTGTTTTTGAAGATGCATTGTTTTTCCCCTGTTGATCCTTTAGACGTGGTTAGGCTGCTTTATTTTTTTTTCTACTATAACTGGACGGTTAGCGGTTTGGCTTTACGTGTGAACATGCATTACACTGCTGCCTATCACCTATGCGCTCCTCCCTCACGCTTTGTTTGCTTTTTCCTACACGCGTTAAAAATGCAAAGTACATTTATTCTGACAAACTGAGCATTTCGGGGCGTAGTGCCGAGCGCTGGCCGGAGGCATCGGCAGAGCATTTAACCGGATCAGCATTTAACCGGATCGCCTCCGTTTCGGCGCAGACGTGACGCTGCGTACCTGACGGATGTCTCGCGCCTCAGGTTGAAACTCCGTCTTCTTTTTAGGGGCAAAGTGAGCGAATTAGCGGGGATCGGACTTCGGGCGCCTGCTGTGCTGCTCCGAAACCGCCCGTGATCATTGATTTCTTTTTTTTTTAAACCTCCTTCGTATGTATTGCGATTATTGGATAATTGTGCTTGGTGTCGTGTCTGTATCTATAATAGTCATGTATGTACATTTATGTTATATTAGTCACATGTTAGTTTATAAAAGCGGTGTATTTTCTGAGTGTTTCGCATTGCTTGGTCTTTTAGGACAAGGAGGGGCCGCACGAAACCTTCCACTTCCAGCTGTGTCCTTATTGACGTTTAAAGGATTGATGTTCTTGTCCGTGATGGTCTAGTGATGTTTTAGTTATTGATCTCCATGTCTTTTACGACCCACTGTAGTCGATGCACAGATTTCTCACAGCAGGAATGGGAATTCTTTTTGATGAAAAATAAAAATAAAAAGGTGGGATTTTTTTCTTTTTAAATCAGTGCCTGTCCAGGGTCTGACTGAAGCTCATTTTCAAAGGAGTATTACGGTGTTCACTTCTTGGCTCGCCCGGGGTGTGTTGTAGACATATTAACTTGTCTGAATTTTTGTTCACATGCTGACTGTGAGTGAGAAGTAAATTAAATTTTTATCTAACCTTGTTCTCTTTGCCTTTTTGACCAGCCACGGGTTTGATTCCAGTGATTTGAGAGCCTGCTGAAGCTCAGATCAGCTGTAGCCCAGTGTCCTAACGCCGCCCATCATCTACACTCCAGCCTTTCTTCCATCCACCTGCCTTCCCCCCCCCCTGAATTGCTTGGCTCCGCTGCCTCTCCCTGCTGGATCCTGTGTGTGCTGTTGGCTATGGTCAAGCGATGGGCGTTGGCCGGAGGTGTGGCTGTTGTGGGCGTGGCAAAGCGGTGGGGGCGTGGCTCTGTGCGGTACTGCTGCTGTTGCTGTGCAGGCAGGTCGCCCCCCAGTGCCCAGAGAGCTGCCACTGTGCCTGGGAAAGTGGCACAGTTCTATGCACTGACGCAGGGCTGCGTGAGGTCCCTGAGGGGCTCCCCACGGACACCGTCTCCCTCCACCTGGAGAGGAACTTCATCCGTACCATTCCCGAGAGCGCCTTCAGCGACCTGCCCCACCTGCAGGACCTCTACCTCTCCCACAACCGCATCGAGTCGCTCTCGCCGGGTGCCCTGCGCCATCTAAGCACGGACCTCAAGCTGCTGGACCTCTCGCACAACCTGCTGCGGAGGGTCAGCCGGGAGGATTTCGGATCGACCCGGGCCAAGACGCGGCTGTATCACAACCCCTGGCACTGCGACTGCAACCTGCAGGAGCTGGTGGAGACGCTGAACCTGGAGCCGGAGACCGTGAATGGCATCGTGTGCGAGAGCTCGGCCCGGGTGGGCGGAGAGGGTGGCCGGTGGGAGGAGCTCGGGGGGGCTGGCGAGCATGTGGGACAGCCGCTGGTGAAGCTGCTGGACGCGGGGGTCAATTTCTGTAGCCTTCAGCGCAAGACCACCGACGTGGCTATGCTAGTGACCATGTTCGCCTGGTTCTTCATGGTCATCGTCTATGTGGTCTACTACGTACGGCAGAACCAGGCGGAGGCCCGTCGTCACCTCGAGTACCTGAAGAGTTTGCCCAGCCCACGCAAGATGCCTGTAGAAACAGACACCCTTAGCACGGGTATCTGAGTTAGCCGCTTATTTTATTTACCACACGCATTCGTCTCAGAATATTTCCCATGGACGTTTTTTCCTGTGTGTCTGACAGCCGGTAGATTCTCAGCCCCTGTGTGTCTCTGCAAGGACGCGGGTTTGAGAGAGCTTATACTGTGAACCGCCACTCAGTTAAATCTGAAAGGTCGGATGCCATCCCCTTCCTCATGAGGATGCCAGATCTGGAGCAGAACGGGATTCCCGGGCTGTGAGAAAGACGGACAGCTTCACTGAAACGTGCCACTCTGTGACTGCAAGGCTGCGTTCGGTGACGTTTCTGCACCCAGTCGGGTTTGGGAAGTGGGAATGGAGTCACTGCAGTGCTGGACTTACAGAACACAGAAATGCTGTTAGCGTGATTTTTTTTTTAGTGTTAGGGTATACCTGGAACTGGAAATGACATGTAAATCATTGTAGATAATAATTAGTATGTGTGTTCCATACATGTGCACATTTTTATATATGTAGTAATGTGTTTGAAAAGCTTCACATTTTGTATTTTAATATACTTTTTCCCATTATCCTGAACCTAGTAAGTCACCACGAAACATATTGTATGAATGATTTTTAAAAGAAGAGCCTGAATTAAGGTATAAATGTTTTAATCAGGTATAATTAGTTATTATTAATACATGAAATCGTACCTAAAGAAGGGAGGATGTTGAGGTCTTTTGGGAGCAGAAATACTTTGAGGTAAAATTAGATCTTTTCAGGATGTTTTCTTTCTCACACTGACACTTGTTTACTGTGTCATAACTGATTCTGAAATGTTACCCGATTTAGGTTTGTGTCTGTCACAGGTCAGACATGGCAATGTGAACACACCCCTTCCTTTGTCTGTGTCTTTGTTAGTCATGTGACTTCATCTGAAGGAAATGGTACGGTATGTGTGATCGCCACATGGAAAGCGTTTTTAAGAGCAGAATAACGCCAGGCTAATTGTGTATTATAAAGTTACAATGTGGGTTCAGATGATTTTAAACAGTTTTGCCTGTGTGGCTTGTGTAAGATTTTACGCTTATACTGCACAGGAGAGAGAATTTTGAGTGCCAGCTGGAATGGTGATGTTTTTCACAAAGTTAAGAGTACACTCCATGATTATGTAGCTGACTAGATCGCATTCTTGGTCTAGTCAGTTTAGTCTTTTTCAGTATGTTGGAAAAAAGGCTTTTTTTTTATTGTCAGCCGTGGCATGCACGGAAATGTTTTGTGAAATTCATAACATTTCGGTATTAGACTTTGTTGTTGATCTAGCTACTGTAGCCCAGTATCCTCTCTCTACCACCACCAACAGATGGGGGGAAAAAATCAGAACTGAAAAACGCACTTTGTGTCTTTTTTTAAATTAAAAGTTTTATTAGTGTTGTTTTGTGTCTTTCCTCCATTACTCTCCTTGCAGATTACATCAGTTTTGGAAAGGTGCTACAGAAATAATGAAAACAGATTTAGGTAACAGCAGAAATCAGAAGAAACATCACAAAAAGATGTGGTTTTCTTTATAGATGGTTGTCTAGTTTTCTTACTTATGGAGAATGTTCGTGAAAGGAAAAAGAAGGGCTGGTAATGGCACAATTTCTTCTATGTTTAAAATAACTAATCTGTAACAAACACCTAATGTGCATATATAATATTACAGGGATTCATTTCCACTTCCATGTGTAACTTTTTGTCGATTTCCTCTTGAAAATTCCAAAAGCCTGACCGCCCCTCCATGATCCAGTACATGCTATGTGATTGCACACGCAAAGTCATGCACATGTAAAAAAAAAAATATTAAGAGTTTTGTAGTTTTTGGAGGGAAATTTTTTGAAATTAAAGTCAAAACATTTTAGGGATGGGGGGGAACAAACACCCCCCCCCCCAAACACTGCACACGTGCTGTTTCATTGCGACTGGAAATCAGATGGAAATAAAATACGACTTCACTATTTCTTGTTTTTCCTTTTATTTCCAATTTACATTAATTAAAAATGTAACAAAACATGATGATCATCATAATAATATTATTATTATTATGATCAATAATAATATTATTAATAATAAAATATACAGACCCTCACACAGTAAGATGCCATCTGCCCTGGTCAAAAGGTGAGGGGTATGCTGTAAAAATCGATTGTCATGTGACACAGTTCTGGGACGTGAACTTGTGATGGGGTTTCTCTGCTTTCAGATGCTCCTTTGTGTCCCAGATCCATCCAGCTGTGCCTGCCAGGGCAGAGACTGTGCTGTGGAGGGGCGGGGGGTTGAGACTCATTCATAGCGCACATAGCACCCCTTGACTGTGGGTATACCTAAATGAGGAAGCCCCGGGTTTAGCTAAGCTACTTTTTTGGAAGCTTGGATTCAAGAATTTGATGTTTTTCAGCGTGAGGTAGCTTTTAAAAAAAAAAAAAAAGTCTATTATGCAAACAGAATGAGTTAGGGCTACTGAAGATTCACGGTGTATCTGTTACAGGAGAAACACTGAAGCAAAAATTGAGTTTGTTGGGGGGGAACGTTTAGCACACCGATTCTTTAAAAAAACAATCCAGAAGAAAATGTACTTTCCAGAAAGTGTATATATATGTATACACAAATATACATATACATACATATTTACATGTAAATATATATCAGTATCTGGTTGTTAAAAAATACAGACTGTTTTACAACAATAGCACCTTTGGTTTTATTATAATACACAGTAACTGTTTTGATACACACTCTGGTGGCAGAATGAGGAACGCTTGCACTTTTACACGGCCGATTTTTGGTAAAGTTACGGCTAGATGTACTTCTGTGTGGATTTAGAGGAGGGGGCAGGATAGGGGGTCCGAGTGGGGACCGGGCCTGACGGGTCGTACTTTTAGAGTGTGAAGGGCTCATCGCTGGGTTACACATCTGGTCCCACCCACAACCTATGGCCCCACCCAAAAGGACGGAGATAATAAATAAATAAAAACACCAAGACTTATTTTTCCCCACATTTCATAATTTTTCTTTTTCCCCTCTTTTTTAAAATCATTTCTTCTTGGTTATAAGGTATTTGCCCATGGTAGGTGGAGTCCAGGGGTCACTGTTGTTTTTGACCTCAGGAAGTGGATAGTCTGGAGACAAGGGTGCTGCTCAGCGAATCGCAAGCGGATGCTGCCTGTGCCGCTCAGTGCAGATATCCTCAGCGTAAGATTTGGAAAGTATTTTTAATGATTAAAAAAGTCCCATTAAAAAAAAAAAAAAACGTTGCATTCTTCTTTTCTTTTGGATCGTGTGTTTTATTTATCGTTTCATGTTTTTCTTCGTTCTTGATATTCTCCCTTACAAGAAGCAGACTGGGCCGATGTCAACGCCAAACTCCTGGTCCGCTCCGCCAATATCCAGTGGTGCGATATCCACGATGGGCAGGCGGGATGTCTTTTGCGATCTGTATTCAATTACTGTCTTGCCCCATTTCCCTGTGTGTTTCTGTGAGAGAGAAAAAGACAAACATGGATTTAGAGACTTCCTAGGACTCCTGGTGTGCCAGTTGGCACTAGTTAGCTTTTAGCTGCTTGATGTAGAGGCGTGGCTGTGATCTAGGGTCTGTGTCGGCATCTGCATCCTCTCCCTGTCTCTCACCGTGCATCCGTCCTCCAGCACCGTGTAGGTGAAGCGGCTGTTGCCCTCGGCACGGATGTCCACCTCGTTAGAGCCACGTAGTAACAGTGCCTTCTTCATGTTGCCACTGGCCTCGTCCAGATAGGCCACGCTGTTGTGGCAGTGGTAGGTGAGGTTCTGTGAGGCCTCTGTGGACAGCAGCCGCAGGAAGGTCATCTGGATGCTAGCGGTGTTGGGGGTCAGGCTGTCATCTCCATAGTTGAACTGTTGGTGGGGACAAGCGGTTGAGATAGTAGGTTATCGGTGATCCACACGTCAAGGCATGTTTAATGATCTTTCAAGGTTTTAGGGTTTTTAGACTAAGAGGTTCTGGCTACAGCTATTCAAGAATAGATGGGCAAACAGTGATGGCATATTCTTTGTTTTGAAGCTGGCAGACAGGAAGCACATGGGGCCAATGGAGCTCAATTTTTAATCCCCTATCATCAGTTGGGCAACAGGTGAAGAGAGGATAGAGGTGGGACACTGAACATATGGGTTCATTACCTTCCTTTCCAAACTCAGCTAATAAATGATTCATGTACATTTTTGTTGAATGGTATGCTAACAACAGCCAACTCACATGGAATCCTCCATTCATCATCTCGCCAAACCAGATGTGCTTTCGCTCCTTGCTCTTGCTGGACCACCAGTTCTTGCGTGGGATACGGCCAGGTCTGGGGTAGACGCAGGTCTCGCCGATCTCCATGTTGCAGAAGACCTTGATGGCGTCGATTGTGGAGCCCTGGTTAGGGTCGATCCAATAGTCACCTGAAAGAAGATTTTGGTCAAGTTGGCATTTTTAACCTGTTGGGTGCAGTAGACAAATCTTGCTTCCTCTTTTGGAAATAGTAGATATACTGAAATGGCATCGTTCCCTTACCACTCTTCCAGTCGGGGTGGCACAGTTTGAGGTCCCTGCAGGTACGGGCTGGGTTCTTCTTGGTACCATCTGGGCTGCGGATGTTCTCAATCTGCGCGTTAAGGGACTTGAGAGTGGAGTCCACCTCAGCATCGTGCTGGCGGAGGTTGCCGGAGGCCTGGTCGGCCCTCATGAACCGCAGGGGGTCAGGGCCCTTCTCGGGCTGGGACAGGCCCGCGAATGCAGACATGTCGATGCCAGGGCCAGCAGGACCAGGGGGCCCGGGGGGTCCAGGGTTACCAGGAGGACCCTGAAGGATCAGAAGAGAAGGTTGTCTTAAAAACACATGCTCTGTGTATGTACTATCCAAAGATAATTACAGGTATCCCTCAGGAGTATGACAGATACCCTTTACTGAGATCCTCTTTATGCTCAAATATGAGGCTAATTTTCCACGCTTATGATTAAGAAGAGCAGAGCGTGGGGGAAATTTTGTGGGGGGAGTTCACACTGGCAGCCACACTTAGCTTGCTAGCTGTGCTACTGCCATCTCCGTCCCCACACCATCGTTTCAAGCTCTGCACACTGATTCCCCTGTGTGATCTTGCGAGCTCATCCCAAAATATCTAGTGCTTACAAAAATTTCCCATTGAAATTAATGGCAATTATGTGTCAGACTAATGAGATTTCACCTTATGAGCCAATTTCCAGGAACCTAATTAGATCAATAGTAGGGGGAGACCAGTATTTCGTTTCCATTTTTGTTATTTCTGTTGGTATGAACTTACGGCAGGACCAGTCTCTCCAGAACGACCACGGGGACCCGGAGGACCGATGGGTCCAGGCAAACCGTTGGATCCATCCTTTCCTGAAGGTCCAACAGGGCCAGGAGGTCCCTACAGGAAAGAGAATAGTTAAGCCCTGGACTTAAGTTCACCAGCGTAGCAGAGCTGATGGATGCACATGCCCACGTAAAATACACAATAATAACCCAACATGGCCTTTACGGAGTAGCTCGTGCTTCCATTACATACCCTCGATCCACTGGGACCAGCTGGTCCAGAGGCACCTTGGTCACCAGCTTGACCCTGTCAGAGGTGGGACAGCAACACGTGTACAGGGAGCTACATTAACACTGTGCATTGCTGTTACACTGTCACCATGCCAAAATAAATAATAAATACTCTGTATTACCAAGATCCCCATTTTTAGAGCTCTGCTTTCCTAATATATTCACTTGCAAATACACATTCTTCATATGATTCTGATTCTTTGTTTGCATCACCATAACCGTTACGTTTATGTACACCTGTATGTCTGTTTCTATGTGTTACTCCACTATTGTGACATTCCCGTCAAAGTCCTTAATGAGTAAAATGGATTCTGATCTGTTTCAGGGGGTTTAGGCACTTGGTATCTGTGGCCTACAAAGGACTATCATATTTTCCATGGTGTCCCTCTGCCTCGTGCACTGTGATGCTGGGATAGACTCCAGGTCAGCCTGCAACCCCCTCCAGAATAAGGAGTCGGAAGGTCGTTTTACTGCTGGTTTTCATTAATCCTGATTTTGCGGTTTTATGACTGCTTTTGTCAGCACTGATGCTGGGTGAAATCTAGGACTCAACTCCCAAATGAAATACAGCAATAGTTAAATCAGCTATACAGAATTCTTTCATGTTTCATAGTTCTATCTGTCAAAGATGGAAAGAAATGGCTCGGCTGCTTACGGGAGGTCCGGGCAGACCCTGTAGACCTGTGAATCCTCGGTGACCCTTCTGTCCCCTCTCTCCCCCTTCCCCAGCCTCGCCCTTGTCTCCACGTGGCCCTTGAGGTCCCTGAGGAAGAAGGCAGACCATCCATCATGTCATCACTAGGAGATAACAACTGT